ACTTCTGTATACTGTTCTGTATACCGCAAGTTTTCTGTTGAATTGACGATGGGGTTTGGGAATTTATAAGGTTTTGCTTCATCCAATCCCTTTTTGAACCATGTATTTGTTCATATGGATGTATGTTAAAATGTGATGCAGGGTCAAAATAAACAATTGCTACATTATAGTTACAAACTCTAACAATTGTTACTGTTATTCTATTGTCCGAGAGGTCTTTGATAATGTCTTTTTTAGGTATTTTTATTGTTTATCGTCTACTGTGGTGTATGCAAATGTATATGGATGTAAGGCATGGTAATCCCTGTTCCCAAGACAAATTTCTTCGTATATCATCTAATCCTACTCTATTCTACGGCGAAAGAAAAGGTTTTCTTGGCGGGGCTCACAGCGGCTAAGGAGATGGTCATGACATTGGTTTGACAGTGACATTGCAATTTGGAGAGCTCCATTTACAATCTGGACCAATACAATTGGCAATATCTAGTCCTGGACTTAAATATATATATATATATATCTGGCATTATGTCTGGCATGCTGTGACAAGTAAATGGAATTCTTTCAGCAAAAAAGTCTTTGCAGATATCATTATATTGTTGAAATTATATTTATAAAATGAAATTTTTTTCAAAATGTGCGATTCAGCAAAGAAAACTTTTTCACAGAGGGACAAATAACTGTTCTTTCTCTAATCTCATCTTAAAGCGCTTTGACTTTTATACCATCTAAATGTGACTGAGAAAAGCTGTGGATTCCATCTTCAGAGTTATTGAAGCCCTGTTAATGCTAATGTGTTGAAACTTTGTGAATCTAAAACTTTGACTACAACTTACTGCAGCTCATTTGTCTTAAAACCAGAGTGGCCTGCAGTGGCACCCTGGGGCCTTGCCCTTTAGACCAAATCCATGGTGTTAACGTTAATTCGCAACTTTAAAATGCAGGACGACGGCTCGAAGGCGTGATGTTTTCCCACCAAAGTTACAGCTTTAAATGGTTTTTCCTAAATGTTAATGTGTCGTTACCTGGACTTTCATCTCCCGGTCCGTGTCCCAAATCCTGACGACTCTCACATCTCCAGACGTCATGAGAAGACCCGTGTCCTGCTCCCAGTCCACCACCATCCCTGCACCTGCAACAATCAACAATTATAATTCATCAAAAACCATGATCTCCAGAGGCCCCCCTCATGCAAATCACACACTTTATTGCCAAATATACTAGTCTTTTATCACTCATTTCTCGAATATAAAACTAGATGTTTTCCCCCCTGCCTGGACTCCTGGCCTCAGTCCTGCACCCTGTGGTCTCTGTCCTCGTGCTACAGCCCAAGTCCTGGATCTATAGCTTATCCTTCTGTAAGTGCAGATCCCTCTCTCGGGGAGGGATCTGCACTTACAGAGTGTTTCTCACTTTTTTCCCCACTGGGTTTTTGAGTTGTTCCTTGCCGATGTAGGAGGGTCTACGGACACTAATGATCGGGGACATTTAAGGACATTTATGGACATTGGTCACCCGCTTCATATGGACCAATGGCTCCTATGTGTTTGTTATTATTGCACTTCCAATGTTTGATTCTCAGATCTGTTTCAGCGAATGAACCACTTTGATGACTGCTGCTGTTACTGAGGAAATTAAATTGAATTAAACCAACGTTGATTCACAACACAAACTCAATGCTTCAAAAAGGCCTGCAGGTTTAGAGCAACTCATCAAATCTTCAGGTTAAGAACTGGACACACTTTAAAGAGTGACTAAACACCAAATCAAATTTTTTTAACTCATAAAACTGCATAAATATGTTAATTGTAGTACTCTCTACATATCCTGGTAATTTCTTTGACATTTTAGTTCAAATTAGATAAAATCTCACTTTGAGCCAAAAAACGTTTGTGTGGCGCCCTCTCAACCTTTTTGGTGGGACTACATTTGAATTTGGTTCTGGCCTCTCCATTGACTCTGTAATTCTCTATGACGTCAGTTGGTATGTGTGACGTCAGTCTGTCTGCACCAGTGATATAAACCCATTCAACTCTCACACACCCCAGGAGCAGGTTGGAGTATTCTGGCGCCATCTAGTGGTTTAAAATGAAATTACATGAGTAATTCTGAGATAATAACGGCTTATTATGATAGCAAGGTTAATAAATGTTTTATTAATGACTCTCGTCTGTGTCTTTACCAATGCTTTTGAGATTTTTGTGAAGTACGTTCATGTCCGACTTGGTTTTGTGTGATACGCGCTGTTCGGAACCAATTGTCATGGTAACGGTCCGAGATGGGAAAATATCAAACCGGTAATCAGCCAATCAGAGCGCGCGTACGGTCCAAGTCATATAATAAATTGTATTAGATTCAGGTGTGTAGCTACACAATAATCTTAGTGTGTGAACAAGGGTGGAATGAGACTTTCTGGTGTGTAAGTGAGCGGTCAATCACAGCCCAGACCACGCCCAACTCGAAGCCCCCCTTCTCGTCCTTTGGTCAACCAGGCAACGCCCTTTGAAGAGAACTTTTCAAATCTTCATGTGGGCGGAGTAAGGGCGGAGTAAGTAAGTTAGTCGCTCTTTAAGAAATGGTCTGAGTCTGCTGTGCACGGCTAGGTTGGAATGAAAATCGGCAACCGCACTGGCACTTTGAGGACCGGTTTGACACCAGCTGATCACTGACATTGAGAAATGACTGTCACCCTCACTCCTTGCCGATGCAGGAGAGCCTAAGGACAGTGATGATCCGGGATATTTATGAACATTGACAGGCATTGGTCATCCCACTAGCCATTAGATAGACCAATGGCTCCTATGTGTTTGTTTAATCAATTCGAATGGTTTGATTTCCGACTGCTGTTGTGAGTTAGGGCTATACAGATATAAATTGAATGGAATAGAACAAACAACGCAGTGAAAGAGATTTAGCATATTGTATAGTCAGGTGGGACAAAGCATAAATATCTCTTCATATTCAAGGCTTTTTGCTTTGTTTACAATGTTTTCAATTGGTTAGAATAACATTTATTTGCTTGAAATGCTTAAGCTACAATCTCCCCTTACAAATGCTGCTGGGGCTTATGAATATTTAGTAAGTACAAATGAGTACAATTAATCATAAATAGGATGTGTTCGTGTTATAGAATGAATTTCAGTTCAGGGCAGGTGCCAATCCAACTCTGTGGGACTTATTTAAAGAAATGCTGAAAAAGAAAAGGTCTGAATGTTTTCCCAGATCATTATTTCATTTCATTTCATTTCATTTTCAACCCCTTTATTTGTCCATTTCTGGGTCGGGGGGGTGGCAATGAGAGCTGCCACCCAATGCTCATAGCACAGTCCCTCACTGATCCTCTGCAGGGGGTGAGTCCACAGGAATATGGCTGCTCCATCAGTTGTGAATACAGCCTTGATCTTTCAGCGGGGGGCTTCAGGCAACGTGGGGTTAAGTGTCTTGCCCAAGGACACAACGACAGCAGTCATCAGTGGGAGCAGTTGGAGTAAGTCCCATGGTGGGATTCGAACTCACAACCTCCAGGCCCAAAGGCCAATGCTCTACCAACTGAGCTACTGTCGCCCCTATATTATTTGAAGCCGATTTCATTTTTTTCATATTATCACCACTTCTAGACGTCATTCTGAGAAAATAATTAGACCATAGACCCGTTTCTGTTTCATGTGGATCGGCTCAGGAATGAGAGAAATTAGCTCTATACAAAGACTAGAGGTCTGATTTTTGACAGTTACCATAGTTACCGGGACAGATACTTAATCTACCCTCCACCAGAATGATGAACTACAGGCATATATTTTTGTATAGCCTTTAATCAAAACAGCGAACATCTGGGAGGACTTCGAACAGTTGCAGATTCCTCAACAACAGATCAGAGAAACACAGGCACTGATGCATAGGAAGCGGATGACCACTGTCCATAAATGTCCTGAAAGGTCTGGGATCATCACTGTCCTTAGAACTCCCTGCATCGGCATGGGTCAAAAAAAAAAGAAAAAAAGTGGGATATTTTTTGAGAAACTTTAAGGAAGCCCTTTATGAGAGAGAAATCCACTCACACATAGATCCGCAATAGATCAGGATATTGGGAAGATATGATTGGCTGAGTGAGGGCGGTCTACAGATGTGAAAAAGGCCAAAAAATACATGCATGTATAACTAGGTATAACTCAAAAAACAAGAAAAACAGTGAGAAAAAGATCTCCAAAGGACAAACAGGCTATAGATCCAGACTCAAGTCTGTAGTCCGAGTCTCCATTCTGTAGTAGTAACTCTGTGGTTTCAGGAGTGGATGTTTGGGACTAAGCCGTGCAGTGGTCTTGTACTATTAACATTGTGCCGAGGACCTGCAGTGGCTTTAGATCTTGTACGAACAAACAGTAGAGGCCTTTTAACCACTGTTTGTATATCTAATGCCTCAGCGGTGCCTCAATCCTACCGGTGACGAAAATAAAAAAATCATGTAAAAGTAGTGAGTGCACATGGATTCAGGGCTTTGATCACGGTCCTGAAGCGACACAGCAGCTGCCGCCCAGAGCCCTGTGTCTGGGCACGACGCTCACTCATCAGTCCAACCTGTGGAGAGGCCAGCTCCGCCTTCTGCGCCCGTCAAACCAAAGATTAGTGCAACAGCTGGACTACACCGCGGAGCGCAGTTCAATTATGCATGCAATGTTTTCACACGCTGATTATGATAAATTAGTGTGAAATATGCCTGTACAATAAGGCGGAACGATTCTGTGTGCTTCTGTGTATAATATGTTGAGGAAAAAACCCCACAAAAACAGACGCAAAACAGTCCTGCAAAGAAATGTTGAAAAATAAAAAAAAACACAAATTGTGACGGTTTTTTTTTCGAAATCAAAAGGAAAAGTTAAACGTCATTAGGTAGATCAATATGAGATGAATAATACAATATAAAGATGTAGGTAAATCTAATCTTATAAACTAGTCTCTCTGCGGTTGATTGTGATAGTTTTGACTTTACGTGAGAAATACAAGATGGGGTGATTGACAATGAGGGTTGGACAAGTTTGGAGAGGAATATGCCTGACATTATGTCCAGGTTTGGTTTTGACGGGTTGGGGGAGTTAGTTTTAAAAGTTCTTCTACTGTGACATCTGAAAATCTAAGTACATACGTTTGGCATTAAGAGCAGGAGCAGAGAGAGCGAGAGAGACAGAGACAGAAACTGAGAGAGACAGACGAAGACAGAGACAGAGAGACAGAAACAGAAACAGAGAGACAAACGAAGACAGAGACAGAGAGACAGAAACAGAGAGAGACAGACGGAGACAGAGACAGAGAGACAGAAACAGAGAGAGACAGACGGAGACAGAGATAGACAGAAACAGAGAGAGACAGACGGAGACAGAGATAGACAGAAACAGAGACAGAAACAGAGAGAGACAGAAACAGAGAGAGACAGAGGGAGACAGAGATAGACAGAAACAGAGAGAGACAGACGGAGACAGAGATAGACAGAAACAGAGAGAGACAGAAGGAGACAGACACACTGACAGGAAGAGACTGATGTAGATGGAGCTAATGCACTCCATCAAGACCAGAGTCCAGAGACCAATATTTCATCTGCACATGTTTGTCTCAGATTTGGCTCCTGATTATATTAAGGGGGACTAAACGTAGCCTCAAAAGCAGCAGTCAAACACGCAAAAGAAAAATCAAATCTATTGCTTGAAACATAAGATTGAAAAAAACAAAAAAAACTGTATGAACAAGCTCATAAAAGTAAAAATGTGAGTTAATATGTTAAGATGAATAGAAATAGTACTTTTCAATAAGCCAACAGATACAAGCTTGAAAAATGACTTTGTGTAAAGAAAGAAAGGGCATGTTTATCCATTTGGGTATGTACCTAGCAAGTTTAGTTAGTTTTTTGGATTTTTAGTTTTAAGAGGACAGTAGAAAAGTACAAAGGAGAAGCACAAACATGATACAAGATAAGAGCCACTTATTTAAGATATTAAATAATAACTAGATAATAAACCAGCCTCTCAATCTAAACATCAAATCTTACACTATCTTGGTTTTAATGAGAAAAACAACTCTCTGAATTATTTAATTTGCAGAAAAGTTCCAGTCAAAATTGCATTTCAGGAAATTCAAATTTTT